TAAGGTGGACCATGAGCTTCATGGAAGAGCAAACACAGGGAGGGATCATCTGCATTGGGTCTGGATTGTCACCAGTTTCCTGTCCATCCCACAATCTAGGAACCAGCAGGGGTTGTGTTATTTTCTGTGTTCTCTCAGGATGTTTTTTTTGGCTGCGGATTTGAGGACGTTAGTGAGCCTCTCATACATAATAGAGTTTTTTTTGGGTTAGATTGCGTAAATATATAAATGTGCCGTTACAACCCGCCACCACCCAACACAGCCAACGAGTAAGGGTTGTCACAATAACATAACATGCCAATTCGTCACGAGTATAGCAAACCGATGTGTTGGAGAGCCAAGCCACAACATTTACAATCTGAGTATGACGTTTGGCCAGTAATTACAACTAGCTCCATCAGGCGACAGCCAGATTTGTGGAGAAGTCTAACTATTTTGTTTCTTATATAGAAGCGTAGATGTGGTGACCACGCTTCTGTGCTCTTTCACAAAGTGTGGGGGGCATGACTGAGGTAACGTACATTATGTATTATGCGAGCCCTTTGAACTTGTCCTTTCTGTCAACTGTGTATGAGAATAGCCGTACCAACGGTAATCCCTATTGAAGTATGCTGCCCTTTGTAGGCATGCATTTAAATAATGTATTATTTGATGATTCGCTACCATGCAGCACTAATCCGAATGGTTAAAGTTATTTTTATTAATTTCAATTTAGATGGATTATCTAATTAGCCTTGGCCAGTAGTAGCTAGTTTTGAACAGAACTTCAACATTATCAAAATCAAAATTTTGATTTAAAGCTTTCGTGACTGCAGTAATTCATATTCTTAGTTCTTTCGATAAAGTCACGTTGAGTGTCCTTGATGGCACGCGGTTCTGCTACTACTGACAGTTGCATTTGGGAGAATTTAATATTTATCTGATGTTCTTTTAGTCTCGTGCTGATCATTCGTCCTGTTTGCCCAACGTAACATTCACCACACGTGCAGTTAATCCTGTACACACCTTCTGTTGATAGCTTCCGTAATACATATTTTGTGCCAGATATTAATTTCTGTATTTTATGTACCATGCCAAATCTGACTCAGATGTTTTGTTTTTGCAAACATCTGGCTAAAATAAAAACAAAATAAACTAAAACAATTAAATCACGACGTTTCGGAGGCAACACAAGCTTTCGTCTTCAGGTGGAATAGTCAACACAGAATAACTGTGTCAGGAGCACAGTTCAGAGACGACCGGGATGATATACAGGTTAAGGGGGGGGGGGGGGGGAGGAGTCAGTAAGGGGGGTGTGGGTGGGTGGGAGGGCTGGGTTAAGCAGCCTTTTGATGGGCTGCTGCGGACAACAGCTACTTCGCACTGCACGAGAGTAGGTAAAATCCACCTTTTGTTATGCTGCGTGGGGGGTAGGAGGGAGGATTTTGAAAGCGGCGGCAAACGGCTGCTCAATTATAAGGCAGCTAAAGTTTGACATTCAACCAATGAAAAAAGGAAATGGCTGTACAAAAAAATTGAAAGGCAGTTAAAGTTTGACTTGATCTACAACATCCTTCCAGTGATTGCTCAACCTGAAACCGTCCTCTCAGTTGAAGTTGTGTCTGTGTCTGTAAATCTGGATGGCCTCGTGGACAAATCTCTGATAAAACCGGTAGGTTTGCAGACCACCTTGGTATCGGAGAAAACAATATCATGATCACCCACAGCGTTGTAACAATGATCAGCCACGGCAGAAGAATTCGTTCTGCCGTGTTTCAAATCTGATTTGTGCTCGCGAATTCGATCAGAGATATGTCGCTTCGTCTCCCCGATATAGCAGTCCCCACAAGTGCAGCTCAATTTGTAAACACCGGGGTACTGTAAGTCAAGAATGACATCCTTTACTGACGGGATCAGATCACGGATTTTGTGCACTGTGTTGAACCGCACCTGGATCTTTTGTTTCTTTAGAATTTTGGAAATCCTTTTAGTAACGCCTGCTATGTATGGTAACATGATGGTTTTGACCGGAGTATCAAGTGGTTGTTTCTGTATGGAGGGAGAAACAGCTTGGCGGATGGTACGGTCAGAGTATCCGTTTCTCTTGAGGGCCAGGTGTACATGTTTTAATTCACTGGTCAGGTGGTGTTGGTCCAAAATGCAATGAGCCCTGTGGTATAACGTTTTGATGAGATCATTCTTTTGAGCTGGGTGGTGGTGGGAATCAGGTTTCAAGTAGGAATCTGTGTGGGTGGGTTTACTGTATACAAAATGTCCCAATGAGCCATCAGGTCTCCTCTCAAACACAACATCTAAGAATGGTAACTTGCCCTCTTTCTCCACTTCCATGGTGAATTTGATGGCGGGATGTCTGGAATTGATGTGGTGTATGAAACGGTTCAAAGCTGGGAGGCCATGTGGCCAAATTACGAACGTGTCATCCACATATCTTTTCCACAGGGAAGGTCTGAGGGTGGAAGTCTGGATGGCATCTGATTCAAATTTCTCCATGAAAACATTGACTATCACTGGTGATAAGGGAGAACCCATGGGGGTACCCTCATTTTGTTTGTAGAAGGTGCCATTCCAAGTAAAGTAGGTATTGGTGAGGCAGTGTCTAACCAAGCGTCCCTCCCTAAATATATCAAACATTAAACTAATTTTCAATGATACAGTATATTTATCCAAGTAGTGATATACCAAACTTTCACAGCAGCTTATTTCCCTTCGAAACAACGTTTGTAAACTCCCCCCCCCCCCCCCCGTGCTGGTCCATCACGTTGCTGCACGGTCATTCCCTCGCACACCATCATTTGTACATTTGTATATTCCCCTCCCCCTCCCCCCCCCGTGTTGTTACTATATGAGCATTTATGCTAATTCCTTTGTCAAAGCGTTTTGTTTCCTCCCACACAGCTTAAAAGGACGCGACCTGACTTGACTTTCTTCTTTCCAACGCTGTCCTTGTGACAGCACGGTCCCTTCACCTGATGAAGGCCACTTGTGTTGTGGCCGAAACGTCGTGATTTTTGTTTTATCTTTTACCTACGTGACTTTACCGAATAGAACCAAAGAGTATGGACATGTTTTCATTCACTAGTCAGGTGGTGTTTGTCAGAAATGCAATGAGCCCTATGTATTAACGTTTTGATGAGATAATTCTTCTGAGTAGGGTGGTGGTGGGAATCAGGTTTCAAGTAGGAGTCTGTGTGGGTGGGCTTCCTGTAAAAAGAATGTCCCAAAGAGCCATCAGGCCTTCTCTCCAACAGGACATCCAAGAATGGTAGCTTGCCATTGGAGGCCATCCAGATTTACAAATACAGACACAACTTCAACCGAGAGGATGGTTTCAGGTTTAGCAATCACTGGAAGGATGTTGTAGATAAAAATCAAACGTTAACTGCCTTTCAAATTTTTTGTACAGCCATTTCCTTTTTTCAGTGGTTGTATGTCAAACTTTAGCTGCCTTATAATTGAACAGCCGTTTGCCGCCGCTTTCAAAATCCTCCCCCCGACCCCCCACGCAGCATAACAAAAGGTGGGTTTTACCCACTCTCGTGCAGTGCGAAGTGGCTGTTGCCCGCAGCAGCCCATCAAAAGGCTGCTTAACCCAGCCCTCCCAGCCACGCCCCCCTTACTGACTCTTCCCCCCCCCCCTTAACTTGTATATAATCCCGGTCGTCTCTGAACTGTGCTCCTGACACAGATATTCTGTGTTGACTATTCCACCTGAAGACAGAAGCTTGTGTTGCCTCCGAAACGTCGTGACTTAATTTGTTTTCTTTTATTTTGTTTTTATTTTATCTACGTGACTTTACCAAATAAAACCAAAGAGTATGAATCCTTGCAGTCACGAAAGCTTCAAATCTAGAAACATCTGGCTAGTTTATCAGTTACTCCCACAATGTACGGTATTTTGATTGTTTTAATTACTTGGGCAGTTTCAATGCTCGTGTTATTTAATTTGGTTTTGGCATCCAATGCTCTGTTGATTTGTGCATCAATGTAACCATTCATTTGCAGCGCTTCTTTAACGTGTTGAATTTAACTTCTCAGATTGTCACCATTTGACACTTTCTTAGCTCGATGAATGAGCGTCTTCTTAAGAGCAGATTTCTGTGCGGGGTGATGGTGTGACTGCATTCAGATAGGCGTCAGTATGCGTTTTCTTTCATAAACACCGTGTGCAATTTTACCCGTTCGACCCCGTCCGAGCAGAATATCCAGAAATGGTAGAGTTCTGTCAGCTTCCACTTCCATGGTGCACTGGATGGATGGGTTTGCGAGTTGAGATGATTTAGAAATGCGTTCAGTGTGTCTTTGCCGTTTGGCCAGACCACCAATGGGTCATCCACATATCTGTTTACATGACAACCCCTACTCGTTGGCTGTGTCGTGTGGTGGCAGGTTTTAATGACACATTTATATATTTACGCGATCGAACCCAAAAAAAACTCTTTTGGATGATATTGGTCGTGAAAGCCTACGTGTTAAACTGAACCTCCCATAGTATTCTAAAAATGTGCAGGTATTCGGCGGATGGTTAATTCAGTTCTATGCGTGTGGTAGAGATTGTATCACTACAAACGATACTCACCTGGTGGACACCACGTGACACGGATAATCAGGAAGTAAAAACAAGCACTCTGATTGGTTACTTAAAGGGCCCGAAAGGGGATTGGTTAATTGGTTAGAGGCAGGGACATTGAAGGGATTGGAGGTCGAAATACAAAATGGAAAGAGTGGGAAACAGAGAGATAGTTGTCACATGTGTATATGACTGTATAGATTTTTTAGCAGTTGTATAGCTCTCACATGTTCAGGCATTAAGAATTTGCAACACCAACAGCAGCAGGCAACACGATCTAGTGGCATCCGACACAGTAGTCTTCAAAAATCGGACTCCAAAATAATTTTGCTTCCTCTTTATACATCACTCAAGCCCCTTTCCCGTAGGTTCCTTGACCTGCTTTGCCTCCAGCTAATCACCTCCCACTTTCCCTAACAGATACCAACAGTCATCCCTGTCAATCATCCTCAGTTCTCACTCTTTCCATTTGTATTTCTCCATCAATCTCTTCAATTACTTGCCTCTAACCAATCCCCTTTCAGGCAAGTTAAGTGTCAATCAGAGCGGCTTGTTTTACTTCTGGACTGTCGGTGTCATGCACACCGTGTCCTTAGCGTTGGGTGAGTATTTTCGGGTGTGATTTAATCACTTCAACGATGTAATTGTGGGAGAATGTGAGCTGCTCAATTAACTTAATGAAGTGATCCATACTCTCACACAGAGACCCGTAGACCCTCAAACACACATACCCATAAGTTCACATGAGACCAAATAAATACACACATATATAACCATAGGATCACATGAGATATCCGTAGACTCAGATAAAAACTCGCAGACTCATGTAGGCTCGCACAGAGGTCCTTATAGACTCACGTAAAAAAAAAACTCACAGATTCATAAAGAGACCCCATGAACTGACGTACAAAAAACAGTTTCAGAATCACACAAAACAACAATGTGGTTGCAATCCAAAAACACATTGGAGACCTGTCCCCATGTTTATGTTTTGTTCCCTTCCACCCGGTGGGAACCAGGTGGCTTTGCTGTAGGGCACGCAGTGCAATCGAAGACTAAGGGCATCTGGGCCTGGCCAATTCCTCACCCAGCGAACAAGGAGAATTGTCTACTACTGTTGGACACGGAGGGGCTGGGAGACCCGGAGAAGGTGAGGGAATGTGGAGCAAATGGCTCATCAGGAAGAAAATAAACCTAAAACTTTATGTTGTAACAATGGCCAGAATTCATCGATTAATATGAGGTTTTTTTTAAGGGCACCGCACACAACTCGAATGAACGTGTGTTAGAGCCAATATCTTTGAATTTTTATGTCATTGGTTCGCACGATTCTAGAGCTTTGGAAGATGAGTCACTTTGAGTCAATTGGTTGAATACAAATTGTTATCAACTACTCTGTTATGGTGGATTACGTGTGCTGTTTAAGAGGCACCAGTCTGGGTTTTTCCACTACAGAAGCTGTGCTACTAATGTCAAAGCAATTAACTAGTGGAGACGTGTGTAGATGACGTGGTGATGATGTAACCTCACAGTAAGCCGACGTACGCCACACGCAGTGACCGAGTCGAGATGCATGTAGCTAACATAGTGCGTTCTGTCCTTAGTGTATTCACGGATATCACACACTGAAAACGTTGAGACGTGTAGTTGACGTAGCGACACACATCACATTCAATTAATGAGTTGATTCACATTTAGATGACGTGGGAGTGGCACTGTTCTCCCAGTGTACTGGCTGACATCACATGCTAGTAAAGTGTCATTTGCCCCGCCCCTGCGTCATATTTACATTTCTACTGAGGCCAGTATATCGCGGGTCTAGCTCGGCTTGGAAAACAGCCAGTGCAGGACCACGTGTAGCATTAGGGGACCACGGTGGCGAGATGTTAACCACCTCGCCTGGTATACAGGAGATCGTGTGTTCGATCCCGACCATGATGCCTGCTGTATATGTTTAGATTGCATGTCTCTCTCTCCGTGGTCACGTGGATTTTTCTCTTGGGTCTCCAGTTTTCCATACACAATTTAGAACCTGAAATTAAAGTATGTGGCTGCTATACATTTCCACATGATAATTCACTTAATCGAGCAATCATTTGTGGCCAGGTCGCTTCTGAAAAATAGCTGTCTAGCTCAATGGGCCTTACCTGGTAAAATAGTAATACCATTTTATAGGTTAGTTTTTAAGTATAACATTGTGGAAACATATCAACACATTGAATTAATGGATTTTGTAACAGTTCCTAATATGCATTTGTCCTCAGAAGTATAAAAAATGCAGGTTAATTTCATCATTAACACTGTTAACAATAGTAATTGGGCAGGATATATCCCGGCTAGAATAGCGATTGCGTGACGGCCAACAAATGCATCTGAAAGGACTTGCACTGAGGAAATAGAGCAATGTAATCAGATAACATGAAAGGTGCTAGATGGATTGTTACTTTTGCAATCGTGTGAGATATGATAGCAACGTTGGGTCTTCATCCAGCAGTGGGATTTACCACGGTTAATGTTAGTACATAACAGCGTTTTGAGCTGGATTAAGTCAATGCCATATAATACGTGATGTTGTGACATGCATGCACGGTGTGTTACATTATCTGCATGGGATTACAAGACTAACCGTTTTTATTTAATCTCAGCACATCTTTTGTACCTTTTTGATAATGGTCCCAGTTGTCTATCAGATAAATCCCTTATAGCAAAGCAACTGCTTTATGAAGGTTATCATGCCAGCTTCGAAGACATACGGACAAAGTAGATGGACAGAAAGGCAGAGCAGATGCATAAATGAATTCAAACTTAGTTTTAAAAGCAATATCGATACAATTGTATTGTTTGATTTTAAACAAAAACCCAATAGGCTTCATAAGCTGGACGGGTGTCAGATTTCAACAGCTCCTATCTCTCACGCGCAGGCCAATGAGGAACACGACATCTGGCTGTTCATCATGGCCGTGCTGCTGTGCAATGTGCTTGTCTACAACACCGAGAAGACTCTGGATAACACGAGCCTGGAGCAGCTGCGGTATCCTTCACCATGCCCATGCTGACCTCTGCGTGACACTTTGGGGTTGACGTTTCCAACGCACTTTTGGGTGACCTGAATGGCTGGGGGGATTTAAAGCAGTTTGCTCTGATATTTCGATTTCTACCATGCGTCGTCTGATATTATAGTCAACAATAATTGTATTGTATATGAAGCAAAGTACGCGAACGCCTCATTTAATGATGTAGATGCATTCCTCAAAAGTTCCGCATTAAGGCAAACACCACCTTAAGGGAGGAATTACTCTCATGAATAACATTTAACAATAATACTGCTTGCGGTTGTCTCTCAGTGCAAGTCATGCAAGGCCTAAAAGTGCATTTGCATAAAGCTTACGTTTTTGATATAATCTGTTGTAAAAAAAAAAACAGGTGAGTTTGTAAAAATTTGATCTAAAAAGTGTTATAGACTCAGATTCTCTAATGGACCAAGGAAGGGATATTCCACAATCGTGGAGCCTTGCTGCATAGTCTGGTCTTTCTAATAATGAGTAGACCAGAATCAGCTTATCAGCTGAACGCCCCAGAACGCCTTGGTGGGAGTGAAAATGAACCCAGCTGCATTCCGGAAGGAATCAAAGATTAATCTTTTTTTAATTAGACTCACAGATAGACCCATAAACTAGCATTGAGACCTAAATACACACACAGAGACCCAAAGATGCACACAAAGACTGGCAGATGCACACAGAGAAACACAGAAATGCAGAGAGACTGACAAACACACACAGAGACGGTCAGACGCGCAAAGATACATTCAGACACACACACTGAGGCTGACAGACACACAGAGACCCACAGACACATACAGAGACCGACAAACACGCACTGAGACCCACAGACATGCACAGAGACCAACAGAGGTGCACAGATTCTCACAGACACACAAAAAAAGACCGACATAGGCAAAGATACCCACAGACATACACACAGACCGTCAGAGGCGCACAGACACACATATACTGACAGACGCGCACAGAGAACCACAGACACACATAGAGACATAAAGACACACACAGAGACCCACAGCCATACAGGTACCCACAGACATGCACAGAGACCGACATAGGCGCACAGATACCCACAACAACAACCGCCATTCGCCACTAAGTGGCGGTGACGTCACCACGACGCTTGTGCCAGGCTATGTGCACCTTGAGGCCACGTGAAGTGTGGAATGCCCGCTGGCAGGCGGTCACGGGGCAGACCCAAGTGCCACGGGTTGACTGACTAAGATGACTGGCTGATGCACCACCTGTGCCCCCTACTGTGCCAACCTGCTGTGCTTTAGCCACCCGGCGCTCCGCTCGTTGTTGTGAGCGTCGCTCATCCGCCCTCCGTTGTTGTTGGAGGGCGACTGCCTCCAATTGCCCAGTAGCGTCTTTCACGAGCCTCCGCCACAGAGGCTGATCTTGACACCGCTGATGCCAGTCATCGGCAAATCTACTCAGCTCCACATCCTTTTGTACCACATCACTCAATCTCATCTCTAGCCCGTGCCACGCCCGTTTAGCCCCCTCGATCTGGTCGAACAAAAGCTGTTTCGGCATGTGGTGGCTGGGCATGCGGGCTACATGACCCAGCCAATGCAGCCTTGCCTGCCGGAGGAGCTCACCGATGAGACCTTGCCCAGATCTTTCAAGGATTTGTGAGCTCCTCACACAATCCAGCCTGGTTAAACCCAGGATGGATCGTAGGCAGGCTAGCCTGAATGTTTTTAACCGCCGAAGGTGTTCCATTAGGGGGGTCCACGTTTCACAAGCGTAGAGAAGGGAGGGAATGACCATGGCCGAGAAGACATGAAGCTTAGTGTGGAGCGACAGACCAGGTAGCTTCCACACAGCGTTACGCAACCAATTAAAAGATTTTGCCGCTCGACTGATTCGGAGTGAGACCTCTGCTGTTAAACTGGAGCCGGGTCATAAGCACACTGCTCAGGTATGGGAAACTCTCCACTCTCTCAACAACTGCCCCATAACCGATTGGGAGTTGTGGGGGTGGAGTGTCCAATGGTACAAAATACCCAGGCAGGTGCTTAGTTTTGGTGGGGCTGATGATAAGGCCCCATCTCTTAGTGGCACGCGCCAGTCTCAGCAGCAGCGTCTCCAACTCCTCCTCTGAATGAGCAGCTATTACCAAATCATCGGCATACATAACGTGGTTGATAAATAGGGAGCCATCCCTTGACCGCACCCGGGCATCGATCAGCCTCCCATTATATCTGTACCAAATGGAGATTCCCCCGGTACAGCTATTGAAGGCTTCATGAACTACGTGGTCAAAATAGATGTTAAATAATGTGGGGAGCCAGAGGACATCCCCGTCGCACCCCAAGGTGTACAGGGAATGGCTCTGACTCCGGGCCACGTTGTTTTACCCGGGCCCGCTCACCATCATGTAGGTCCTTAATGATCATGAGCAGAGGGTCAGGGACTCCAAAAGCATGAAGAACAACCCAGAACCCATGCCTACTGATGGTATCATAGGTCTTGACCAGGTCAATAAAGCAAAGATGTAGGTCTTGCTGGAATTCGCTACACCTCTGATGTAGCAGACGGACAGAAAAAAAGGCATCTGTGCAGGACCGCCCTTTCCTGAAACTGCATTGGGGCTCTGCAATCCTCTCCTCAGTGTGCCTGGCAAGGCGATGTTGAATAATCCTTGTCAGGACCTTTCCCAGCACACTGAGGAGTGAGATGCCCCTGTAGTTGTTAGTCTGTGCGGTCCCCCTTCTTAAAGAGGGGGCCCACCAGGGCATCCTTCCAATCCTGCGGAACCCGTCCAGTGGTCCAGACTGTTGTTATGTCATATAGGGCAGTCTGTGCACAAACGCCACCCTCTCTCAGCATATCGCTTGGGAGATCATCTCTGCCCGGTGCCTTTCCTGGACTCAGACTCCGGATCGCCTTCAGTATTTCCTCAACAGATGGCACCTCAGCCAGCCACTCACAGGGGGTGACTTCTTCCAATATTTGAGGCACCGCAGCCTCAGCAGGTTCATCCCCACTTTGTGCCACGATGTTTTCCTGGCTGAGGGATATCCCCTCCCCCAGGACCTCACAGAAATGCTCAGCAAATCTGCAAACCTGTTCCTTGGGGTCGGAGATTGGATCACCGTGTTTTTCCCCTAATGATGGTAATAGGTATGGCACTGCAGGTAACTTTTTTGATGGAGTTAAATAGAGATTTGTTATCGTGGGCCACTGAGGCAGACTCCATCTCCTCAGCAACCCGCGACCACCACCCATCCTTGCAGCACCTCATGGCTCTCCGAACCTCCGAGCGAAGGCTGTGGTAAGCCTCCTCATTCTCTGACGTGGGATTCTGTATCCGATGACAGTGGGCCTGTCGCTTTTTCTCAACTATCCTGCACACCTCCTCTGTCAGCCAGTGTCTCTGGGGAGGTCTGGACCGTGTACCCAAAGCAGCCATTGCAGCTGCATGAGTCACAGTCCTAAACGTCGCCCATTTACCCTCGACATCAGGAGGAGTGGGGGACAATGCCAACCCCAGCCGCAAGCGATGATGAAATTCTCACTTGCAACTTTCATCAGATAGCTGAGACCAGGCCACTTTAGGTTGGAATGGGGTCCTGGGTGTACACCTACCACCGGAGTGGAAGAATGGCAGGCGCATCTTACAGATGACTAGTCGATGGTCAGAGGACAGATCAGCTCCACGGTAGGTCCTGGTGTCAAGGACATGGGCTCGCATCCGCTAGTCCGTCACTATGTAGTCCAGCAGATGTTCTTGCTTGGACCCGGCATGCATCCATGATGTTGTGTAGATGTGCCGATGCCGGAACAGCGTGTTGGTAATTACAAGCCCATGGGTTGCACAAAAATATAGCAGCCTCCTGATGTTGTTATTGAGCTGATCTGGCCCATGCCCTCCAATCACTCCAGACCAGGTGCGAGCATCATGACCAACTCGGGCATTGAAGTCACCCAATAAGATGACTCTATCCCGAGGGGCCACTTTAGCCAGCACCTGTGACAGGAGGTCATTGAAGGCATCTGACTCATCGGCTTTGCCTGCATCCCTCCACGGATGTTCGTCTTCGGTGGGGGCATAAGTGACCACGACCGCCACTCCTCGCCTCCGGTTGATAGGAAGGCGAGCCCAAAGTAGCCTGGGGCTTACAGCTTCCCACACCTCACCACCACGCTCCCACGCCCCTTTCATTCTTTTGTTCAAAAGAATAGCCACACCCTGTTGTTTGGCAGTCTGCTGCCCCGAGTAGAGGACTGTCCACCCCTCATGGTGGCAGGAGCCAGAACCGGTCCACCGGAGCTCCTGAATGCCACAGAGATCCAGTCGGTACCCGTCCAGCTCCCGACAGAGGAGTGGCAGCCTCTCCTCCGCAGTGAGCGTTCGAACATTCCACGTGGCCACACGAAGTGGCTTTTTATTGTTTCTAGAGGAGCCCCGAGGGTAGAGATTCAATCTCCTGGCTCCGCCAATAGGGATTTGGCCAGGAGATGTCATAGACGCCTTTCCCCCCAGGGCCTCTGGCACAAGCTTATTAGTTACATTTGTAATTCGTGGTTTCGTGGTAAATTTTTGAAGGTGGAGGGGTTACCAGCCCCTTGCACCCGTCCAGAGCCCCCGTTTAGCCACTGTGGTGGTCACAGACGCCATGAGGGGAGGGGCCAATCGGAATTCGACCTCCCCCTACAGCACTGTCCACGACAGAGTTGCCCGTCCGGCACCGCGAGGAGGTAGGAGGTTGTTTTGCCGGACACACACACAGACACACACACACAGACGGACAGACGCACACAGCAATTGACAGACACACGCAGAAGCTGAGAGATGTACAAAGATACTCACAGACACACAGCGAGACTGAGAGACCAGCCCAGATACCCACAGAGACTGACAGACACGCGCAGATATTCACAGACACGCACATAGACTGACAGATGCGCACAGATACCCAAAGAGACTGACAGACGCGCACAGATATGCACAGACATGTACAGAGAGACTGATAGATGCGCAGAGGTACCCACAGACATACACACACATAGACTGACAGATACGCACAGAGACTCACATACATACACAGAGACCCACAAATGAGCACAAAGACTGACGGGCACGCACAGAGACCCACACACACGCAGAGAGCCACACACACGCAGAGACCCACACACACGCAGAGACCCACACAAAGAGCGAGGCTCCTCCTCTTCCCCCTTCCCGCTCTGCAGATCTAGTGTGCAGTTCCGATCTAGCATGAGAGGAATAATAAATGAGTTCCCCCAGTAATGTATTCCCACTTCCAGCCCTGATTGTAGTTTATTTAAAACACCTTTTTAACCGCCAGTGAGCAAGGCATTGCAGTAATCCAGACTTGATGAAATAATGCTATGCACCATCCTCTCAGTATCATGATGGGATAGCATAGGCCTTAGTCGAGCTATGTTGCAAGTGTGGAAAAACAATATTTTAGTAATATTACATACGTGTGCCTCAAATGTCAAACTGGGGTCTAAGATAACACCAACGTTTCTGACCTCAGAGGAAGACCTAATTAGTCCCCTCTATGGTTATACTAGAACCATGCAATGTATGCACCTAATGTGGATAGACCAATGACATAATCTCTGTCTCATGACAATTTAAGTACAATCACATAGTATGACCAGGGGACAGATGAGATGGAAAATAATCTGATTCAGCCAAATAAGTGGGACTGGCATCGAAGAAACAAGTTGTAGGTTTAAATTTGGAGGCAAGGTCAGAGAATTCTGATGGAGGCGGCACGGTCAGAGGAAAACCAGAACATATCAGAGCATTGTTTGTACGTGACTCAGGAATGGAGGGGCAGTTAATGTTATTTTCTTAATGGAATAAAAAAATTTGTAATGAAAAATAATCATAATCAAGAAATGTATTCCATTGGATGATGGAACCGGATAAGATTTTTTTTTTTACATTTGGATCGATTGCAGAAAAAAAAGTGCCCTTGGGTTTCTATATACATCTTTATTGAGCGTAGAGCAGAAGGCCGACCTTCTGGAAATTAATCCATCCCTATGTATTATAATGCTGATGTTGAGGAGGTCTGAAAAATGAATTTCTGGACCTATATCCATCAAGCTTTCTCCCAGGTTTGTTTTAAGCAGCGCAGATGGCCAGCCAACCAAATGATATTGCCACTTGTGGGAAACAAGACGTGATTTAAGCGGCACCAAAGAGCCGAGCGTATTAGAAAACTGTTGAATTGTAGAGAAGAAACGTTGTCCTCCAAAGAACAAAACTTCGAAGGATGAGGGTAATGATAACAAAATATCTCGGCCTGCAGTTATCCCCAGGGTAAGACATAGAACTGAGACGAGAGTACACTGCCTACTCTATCGTTCCTCATACTCGACTGTGCCGAGACCGCGTTATAACAACTCCGTTCCGCGTTGTGCAAATAAGAAATGTTCCCAAAGAGAAGAATAGTGTTAGAGTGACAACGGTAGTGCACGAGAACGCCTTAAGCGAGGCCTTACCGTATGGTCGACGATCCTGATCCTTGATATAGGGAGGAGGCTGTGCGTTGCACCGTGGAGGGTTCCACAATACGCTGCAGTGCAAGGGTGATAGGAGTGGAGAGAGATACGGGGGAACAGTTGAAGTGGAAAGTATACTCATGGTTGCAGAGGCTACCCTCGCTAGCAAATCAGAAGCCAGTGGAGATAACTTCATGGCGGCAAAGGGATCTAGCTGAGGATGACGTGGGGCGCGACCGTTGGAATTTATTGAGGTTACTTGATGACCCTCAATCCAAGAATGGAGTTGCAAATAGTCGAGGCGAGACTCAACTGTGCTGCAGGCGAGAGTGTTAGACATTTTGGTGGTGACTAGGAGACATACATTACGGAAGGACTTGAGGTGATCGTTGCACGCTCTCCTCATGATGTGATGGTAGCTGTTGAGTGTAACACTGATGCTGTGGGAGAAATGAATACCAGAACATGGTTTGGACCTCATGATAATTCCTAATTATTATGTTACTATTTATTTTAAGTATTTTTACACACTTCCATTGATTGTCTGTGCTGTATTAGTTGCATCTTATCATACTATGCTTTACAATGTTGCTATTACTGTTTCTAAACCTATCAGTGTTTTTTCATAATTATTTAGGTGATATTGAATATGATGTTTAAGTAGTTTTGCACACGAACAATGTCATATCTGTTTCGTGCAATATCTTTTAAGTGATTGTAATGGAAGAGGCAGTATATAAATATAGATTGATTGGCATGGGCATGCGATAGGCGAGAGGGGGAGTTGAGACAATGTTACGGCAGCAGCGTGGATGAATAAACTTTACGTGGTGAGAGAGAGTCAGACATAGGCAGAGGAAAAAATAAATATCATGAGGCTAGATTTGAGTAGAGGCAGGGAGTCGATAGATGGGGAGCTTCAGACTGGGGGCAGCAGAGGAGAATGAGAAATCTTGTACTCCATGAATACTAACTTCAGGCAATCGACAGAAAGTCTTCATTGCTTGAGCAGAGTGTGTGGAGGCGTGGAGGGGAGTAGAGTGAGACGAGCTGGGAGAGGTAGGAGAGTGGGTGGAGGGTAGTGGAGTGATATGAGAGGCGAGAGGTAGGAGAGTGCATTGAGTAGAGTAGAGTGATGACAGAGGGAGAGGTAGGAGAGTATTGTGAGATTAATCTCTCAATATATTTGAGGGAGGCATTGAACGCAGAGCCCTTAACTCTGCTTCTCCTCCAGCTACGTGAAGAACATGTCAGAGCACGTTCGATCCCAGATTTCTCCTGAAGACGAAAAATCAAGTGTCATGGAAAGCCACTTGCCATCCCTGGTTGTGTGTGTGCGGGACTGCGCACTGAAGCTGGAATGGGACGGGAAGTCGTTCACTCCCGACGAGTACATGGAGAAGTGCTTCCAGGTCCGCAGGAGCAATTCCCCGAAAAATGAAGAATTCAACAGGGAACGCGACCTCATGTGCTCATATTTTAAAGTGAGTCATGTGTATAAGAATGTGGATGTTCACGTATATGGTGCTTGACTCCGCAATTCCAATCAAACTTGATTTGAAGCTTTCGTGAATGCAGGAATTACTCTTTGATTCTTTCGGTAAAGTCACAGAGAAATGCAATAATAGAGCACGACGTTTCGATTGCAACACAGACAACCGTCATCAGGTAGAACTAAATTTGAGAGAGACACAAAACATAGACACGGATGCGACCGATGCGACCAAGGGAAAGAAGATCGAATGTCCCTATGATAGCCTGGTAAAATTTAGAGAGAGAAATGTTCTAAGTTTGTTTTCTCAAACGGTCTATTTCTCTCTCTAACATTTACCTGGCTCTCATAGGTCAATTCGCTCTTTTTCTCCCCCGGCCGCTTCGGGGTGAATTTCCAACCATCTCTCTGTGTGTCTCTGTCAAATTTCACACTTAAATTCTAATTTTAGCATTTTTTGGAGATCGTAATCAACCAGGCTGTGCGTTAACTGTGTTAGCCGACTCTCTGTGTTGCATTACATTACATTTCCAAAAGATTTGCTAAATTTTGTTTTCTCAAACTATTTATCTCTCTAAAATTTACCAGGCTATGATAGGGCCATTCGATCTTTTTTCCCTCGGTCGCTTCAGGGTGGATTCATTGACATGCTAATTTCTCTGCTCCAGCAGCTGCCCAGCAGACCCACTTCTCTCTCTGCCTAACCCCCCCCCCACCCTCCCTCTCTATTTAAGGCCTCCAAACAGAGGCATTGGGTCTCTGTGTGCCTATGTTGTGTGTCTCTATGTGTGTGTCTGTGTTGTCTCTCTTTGCTTGTGTGTCTGTCTGTGTGTCTCCGTGTCTGTGTTGCAATCGAAACGTCGTACTCTATTATTTTATTTATTTTATTTCTACGTGACTTTACCGAAAGAACCAAAGAGTCATTCCAAATCACTTACATTGCATCTGATCTCAACAATTAAATATCTGTAGCAGTTATCACCAGGGAGGATGCCAACAGTAGCTTGTATCCTGTGTTGTTACAAGGTGCACATAAGGTGGTCCTTGAAAATTAGCATTATTCTGCCACCAGGGAGTGATGTTGCTCTGTGTATTTTTACAATTCAATAATTTGTGGATAATTTGCCAAATGCGAATCATGACGCTAGGATACATGTCTAGTAACACCCAACACAGTAGTCTTCATTAATCGTTCTTATTTCTTCAAGAATTTCCCTCCCTCAAAGTTTCTAGAACTCTCTCATTTCCCCTTTATATATCCCTCAAGTCCCTTTCCAAAATAGTCCTTGACCTTCTGCTTTGCCTTCAACCAATCACCTTCCACTTTCCCTAATGGATTCCAACCGTCCATTTTGTATTTCTACCTCAAATCCCTTTAATTCCCTGCCTCTAACTAATCCCCTTTCAGCCCCGTTAAGTAAATTAGAGATGGCTTGTTTAACTTCCTGATTGTCACGCACACTGTGTCCATAATGTCGGATGAGTATTTCCGGTTGTGATTGAATCACTACACATGTGTAATGAGAGGACTTCTGAGACACAACTTGTAGAAGGTTGCTTGTTTATTTCTCAATATTTTAAGACAGGGTCACGGAATAACATAAGCGCTGAGTTACTTCTAGCTGAGCCACCCATACAGCCACATCGGCGTCGTACACTATATAGCTAACTGTCTAGATAGCAACAACAACGATGAAGACTGTAGCCAGCTAACGATGCAGCGACGACGATGACGAAAAGATGGCAGCGATGACAGCGACGACAGCCAGGACCCGAATCCCCATGACAGCCCCGAACCCCCGTTTGCCTCTCCATTATATCCCTTTAGCGTGGTCAAGCCCCTCCCAGGGTTTGGTGTTACATGTTATTTATGTAGTTTATTGTTTAAAATTCGGTCACAGTCCCTATGATCACTGTTACATTGCATTTATTGCTTTATTTTGGTGATTTCGACAAGTGTTTTGGTTTGGCCATGTTTTTGTTTATTGTAGTACGGAGTTAGACTGATGGTCTTAATCTAAGTTGTCTTGTGGTTGTTTTTTGTTGTTTGACTTGCATCCCACTGGGATTTTTGCACACAGCGTTGGTGTACAGTGCTATTTCAGGAATATTTTGATGTTTTTTTTTCCTGGATTTTCTGGTTGCACAGTCACATAGTCACTTTAAGATGTTTTCTTGTTCATGTTTTTGTTTTTTGTTTGTTGCAGTTGCACCTGATTCAAGAGCTGAATGGCTCACAGGGCTATACCAAATAAATGGAACTATGAACTATGAACTCCCCTGGCCACGCCCCACTTAAGGAACTCTCTCGCTGGTTCCAGGAGCTTCCAGATCGATCCCCTCTTTGACCCTTGGCCCAGTTACACTCCGCTTTTGGTTGCTTACGTGTGCTTATCTATAACGCACCCATACCCGTAATTAGCCCCAATGGTTCAGCAGATGGCACCCTGTCACTACATCACCCCCCCCCCCATGTTTAATAGATAGCCATCCCAGCTAATACCAACAACAATTATACAATTTAGGTAGAACAATTCCGCAAACGAGAACCCCATAAAATCCCAGTAACAATAATAACACATTTTAGGGCAGAACAAATCCGCAATCGAAAATAAGAACAAACAAAAAAATCCTAACATCCATAATAACGGTAAGGGAGAGAGAGAAAAAATACACCCCGACGCGCATTGCCCGCAACCCAACCCCAACGACTGAGTCCTTGACGCCAGTCCATCCTTGGAGGCGAACTTTGTCTTCTCTCCAGGCGATGGGGACTTGAATACAAGCCTTTAAGGGGTCGGCTGCTCCCCTGATTCCTTCGAAGACGTGGTCCGGGCTGTAGCCGGCGGTCTATCGCACCCAGCAGGATCCCGTGACTCCGCGGCCTTCAGGGGCTCGGAAACTGTGTGCAGCACAACACAATCCTTCTGATGCATGCTCTCTGTGGCGGATTCCCCTGGCTCGTTGGACACATCAGACACCAGCCATGCAGTGCTTGGAGATGAGCTGTCAGTTTGGAGAGAAACATATTGTTTCAACCATGATGGATGGACAAACCAATGGCGACGGCCCATCTGTATACGCACACACTGTGGCCGTTTAATCTCCACCACTTCCACGGGACCTTGTCATGGCCGATGCAGTTTAGGGGACATTCCCAGGGGCACCCGCGGGCAGTGCAACCATGCCCTGTCCCCTATGGTCCATTGAAGCACACGCCCACGCCGCCCTGCGTTCTTTTCATTGGCCACCTGCGCTCTGGCGGTATTTACCCTAGCCGCGCTGTGTGCTGCCAACATGCGACTCAGCGTAACTTGCAGGGGCATGGGCAAGGCCGTTTTTCCCTTGCCCCCGACATGCCCAATTGGACCTCCGTTGGGTTCATTCTCTCTCCCGTAGATGAGGAAAAATGTCGAAAATCCCGTGGAAGCGTGTGGGGCCATCCTGTACGCCACCAAGACCCCTGGAACGTGCAAATCCCAATTGGTTTGTGCCACGCTGACCGCCTGACAAAGCATAGATGTCAAAGTTCTGTGCAGGCGTTCCACCATACCGTCCATTTGTGGATAGTTTGGTGACATTCTAAAATTCTAACGTGCCTAGCGTGTCGCACACCTCGCGCAGCAGCTTCGATGAGAAAATCCGCCCTGATCCATGAAAAGCTGCTAGGGGGTTCCCTTATCCATTAGGTAGCCATGAAAAAATGCATCGGCAATAGATGCAGCCGGTTGGTTGGGCAATGCCCAGGCCATTGGACACCGAGAAAAATATTCAACCCCTACTAGGAGAAATGTATTCCCCGTCTGCATGGCTGGGAAGGGTCGCAGAATATGGAGTGCGACCAACTCGTAAATCTGAGACATCGAAATGGACTGCAACGGAGGCTGGGACTTCCTCAGTGGTGGTTTCTGGTGCGCGCAATCCATGCAACCTTTTACTAGATGGTTAACATCACTCGACATTCCCAGCCAATAAAAGTCACGCTGCAAAGTCAACATCTTTCACATCCCAAAGGGCAACAACTTATCTTCATGCACCACCCGTGTCAACCTGCCCCACAGGGCAGTGGGAACCACAATTCAGTGATGGTGCAGCCCCTTATCCCACCTCATCAATAGTCCTTTGTGAAAAACAACTTGTGGACCTCCCGTGGGAGCAGATCCTTTGCGCTGCAACTCAGCATGACGCCGCAAGGCCATGAGGGACACATCCTCCATCTACAGTCGCCCCCACTTGGCTCTCGTGAGAGCTCTCGTGAGAGCCAAAGTGCTGTTTTCCGTTGCGACCACCTTGGTGGGCTCCCCCTCACCGAGCATCTCCACGACATTTGGTGACACAGTCACAGGTAGTTTACCATGGCCCACGCCTGATGAACATGCACAACGCTCCACCAGGGGCAAGCGGGACAACACATCCGCATTACAATGTCGCACCCCTTGCCGATATATAACTCGGAACAAGTACTCCTGAAGAATTTCCAGCCAGCGTGAGAGCTGGCCAGAAGGTTGGTCTACTCACAGAATGTACTGATGGGTTGAAAGATCCGTGTGAACAACAAAATCCCTACCATACGCGACCACCCTCTCAACTCCGTTTTTAACCTGGGACAGGACAGCCCCTATGTCTGTGTCACTAGCGTCCGTGTCCAGAATAAATGGCAGGGAGAAATCCGGATAGTCAAGTCGTTAATACGACGCAAACCCAAAAAAACTATGCACCTCACCCACAGACTTGGGGGTTGGCCACTCGTGCATGCACGCCATTCCGTCTGAACTCATGATGTTACCCAAGTATCGCACAGAGGTTTGCAGAAAATTACATTTAGTGGGCTTCAATTTGAGATTAGCCGATTGCATCTTGGAGAACACAGATCGCAACTGCTACAAATGCTCCTCGAAAGTGCTACTAAACACAATAATATCATCTAAGTAGATGAAGCAGGAGTCCCACTGCATTCCTGCCAGGACCAATTCCATAATCCACTAGAAAGTGGCTGGCGCTTAATGCAATCCCATCGGGAGGCAGTTAAACCGGAAAAGTCCCTGGGGCGTCCAGAACATGGTTTTTGGCTTAGGTGACTCATCGAGGGGGAGTTGCCAAAACCCCGACAACAAGTCCAGCATTGAAAACAAACGTGCACCGGATAACGCATCCAGGGGGTCATCTAATTTGTGGGAGTGGATACGCATCTACCACCGAAACCTTATTCAGTTCATAAAAAATCCACGAAGAACCTTAAGAAGCCATCGTGCTTCTTAACTAGCACCACAGGTGCTCCCCAAGGGATGGTAGAAGGAGAAATGATATCCGCAGCTAACATTTCCTCCACCACCTACTGCACATGATCCTTCTCCCGTGGGCTCAACCGATAGGAGTTCTGATTAATCGGGGTGGCCTCGCCCGTATCAATGCAGTGTTGCAGCAAGCAAGTACGGCCGATATCACAACGACTCTGCCCACGTCCCGTCTGACTCAGTCCCCTGAATTACAACGCCCACGAACTCGCCCAGCGCAGGCTGGACACCCTCACAACACACGGCCGTCTCATGAGCCAACACCGTCCCTGCCTGGACCACATCTGTTCCCGGTCCTGCATTTAGGACTTGTAAAAATGGCTCTTGTTTCAGTCGAAGGACCGTCTGTGTGCCGACCAGCACCAGGCCATGGGTTGCCGTATTGGACGGAGTCAAGAGAACTTCTACCACAGGGTTCGCAATTTGAAACCCTTTGCGATAGCGTAATGGCACCAACATTTGCGTGCCTGGCGGAATCTCTACAGAATCCCTCGCCAGAGCTTTGGCTGTAACATTCTCTACTGCACGTTAATGTGGAGAGCAAAAAAAACCAGTCAATGCCCCAACGATATCTCTACGCAACATCCCTGTCCGGCAGCCTGTCCAAGGCTGGCGGTACCCCAACGCGCCGTGGCGACCACTCAGCCAGATTGCACTTCTGTCTGGGTTCCCCCATCCATGCCGCCATCTGGGACCACCGGTGCAGGTTTTAGTGGACCTGCAGGCATCTGGCGGCCCAACGGGACATCTGCGTGTCCTCGTCGACGACCAGCAAGACAACCCCCATCTCTTGTGCCAACCCCAACATCCTTTCCATGACGAGAGAGTCGAGGGCTGTCCAGTCCATCGCTGGGTACGCCGCCTGTCCCAATGCCCAGGCGAGAGGCATCTCGGCCTCGCCTCCACTGCAGGAATTTCCTGCGCGTGTTGGAAGGCGGATCGTACACGGTCGCCATCTCACTGTAAGCTTGCTGAAGGATGGCCTGCATTTCACTCGGTATGGCCCGGAACGCCACTAGGGCGTTGCCATCCAGCGCCATCGGCAGGGCCCTCAAAGCCTCCTCCTTGGTCCAGTCCACCGACCGGTATGCCGCCTCGAAGTGCTGAGAGAAGGCGCTCCAGTCACCCCCTGCTGCAACAAATTCGCAGACAGGTGGCAATCGTCGGGGCCGATTGGCCCTTTTTCCACGTGCTGCTGGAGCCGCCCTCGCCTCCGCCGATTCTCGCTCTTGTAAAATGGCGTCCCCGAGCCGCGTTTCTTCTGCGTCACTCGTAATGGTGGCCGCCGTGCACGTGGACTTCTCCGTGGGAATGTCGGCCGCCGGTGCTCTTCCCACTCTCTCCGGCGAGGTCCGTGTGGCCGATCCCGCCGCTCCTGTCCCCACCGTAGTCACGCTCATGAGCGTGATGAGCTGCGTGACCATAATATAGAGGTGATCACGTGGATTTCTGATTAACTGGAGCACATATTTGTTCGGTTTAAGCATGTGACTTGTAATAAACATTTCCAAGAATAACAATTTCAACTATTTTAAGACTATTAATTTGGGTAAAGTCACGTAGAATGAGAATAAAATAATAAAACAAAATAACACAATAAAATTCTCACGACGTTTTGGCCACAACACAAGTGGCCTTCTTCAGGTGAAAGGAACAAACCTGTCGGGACGACAAAGCTTCAATGAACGTTATTAAGATTCGTAGCGTCTTTTAAGCTGGTTTAGAGAAGTGAGGCACCATGACAAAGGGGTTTACAAATCAAACAGGAGAATTTAGCATTGAAATAGCTGAGGGATTAGCTTGTGACTGGTCACAGAAATGGCTATGTTAAAATCAAAGCCTACACATCCACAGAGGCACCTAGTAAAATCAAACAAGAGAATTTAGCATTGAAATAACTGAGGGATTAGCTTGTGACTGGTCATAGAAATAGCTATGTTAAAGTCTAAAATCAGCAATGTTTTGAGCAAATGTCCTTCCCTATTCATAGCACAAAAACAGAGACCAGAGAGACAGAGTCATTGAGGATTAGAGACAACACTTAACACCGTGGGGCTTGGTGAGAACTACATTTACAGTAAAACCTTGGATTGGAGCATAATTCGTTTCGGAAACGTGTTTGTAATCCAAAGCACTCGTATATAAAAACACTTGTATATCAATTGTGATCACGTGACGCTCGGCAGACAAAGCGTATACGTACTACTCGTATTGCAAGACCTCGCTCGTTTATCAAATTAATATTTATTTAAAAATTTTGCTCGTCTTGCAAAACTCCCGCAGACCAAGTTACTCGCAATCCAAGGTTTTACTGTATAATGTTTTTGCCAGTGACTAGTGTTTTAAAAATAGGCATGTGAATAGATAACGGATCGTAGCTATTCAGTGCCAGACTAACCTTTCAACAATTAAAAGCATTACGAAATTAACGAATCGATGTTAAAAGTAAGATCATTAAATGTTTGCTGGCACATGCCATTGTTCTTGTGACGACAAACAAGACACAACCCCCTCCTATGAGTGCATTATTTGTTCTCAATCAGACATTTCAACAGAAGGAATTTAACTGACATGTATGTATTTTGTTAGGCAAATGATATGTTGATGCTGCACCATTGCATGGCTAGTTGCGGACAGAGATTCCATTTTTCCGTAATAGAGTTTTTTTTTGTTAGATCGCGTATTTACGCGATAATATTGGTCGCAAAAGCCTACGTGTTAAATTGATTCCATTTTTGTTCTTATTGCCAAACAAAGCGTGGTATGATTGTTATTTTTAAAATGATCAATAATATCTTCATTTGAGAAAATGAAGATATGACCGTTTAGTTCAAAAATAATAATGGAGTGGCAGCCAAGGAATGGGAGCACATCTGAAATTACCTTCACCAAAGCAATGGAGAAATAAAATTAGAGCATGTGCAGGTGCGGAGGCTTGGTGGGGCCTTCATTCACCAGTGGATTGACAATAGCTGATGGTATTGAGGATTGTCAGTACATTGTCGTTGTTGAATTGTCGTCATTGTTGTCTTCCTGCAGAAGCGGAAGTGCTTCATATTCCCCATGCCCACACACCCGGACGACATGGACCAGCTGGAGAATAAACTCAGCGAGACGTTTCTGAAAGTGGCGGAGGAGTTCACCTCTCACATCTACCAGATCATGAAGTACAAGAACATCGATGGGGTCATCCTCACTGGCCAACGTGAGCGCAAACACTTGGAAAAAATATTAAGCCTGCACTGCTGTGGTTTCTGCTACATCGTTAAGAGTGAAATGCATTTTGTAAAAAAATGTTGAAATTTTGATCTACTTAACCAGTTATCACGGTTTTACTTTTATAGCACTCCCATTTGTTTTCAGGTTGTACCCCACGTTGTTCAGCATGAATGTCTGACGCTTCACTCCATGGTGCTGGGAGCTTCTTTGGGAACTGAATCATTCAGTTTCAAATTTTTCACTTCTTGAATAACCTCCCAGCACGTGGAACAAAAACTCTGGACATCAATGTTGAAAAACACACAGTACAACCCATGAACACGTCAGAGAAAAGACATCAGAGATGATTTCACACTTCATGACATCACGTGGGAGACGTATGCAAGTGCGTGTAATGTCATTGCTTTGGCCAAAGGGATGTATCCATTTCACCCTGGGTTTCATTCCCAAACATATGAGCTATAATTTGATCAATGGGGTCGATTTTCAATAGGGTCTTGATGAACAACACTTTATGCAAATATTTATACTCGAGTTATACTAAATTTGTGTTCATATTGGAAAGTCTATAAGCCAGTTATTATGCATCCTTGTGACTGACAGATAAACAGATTGACAGCGCTAATTCATTTATACTTTAAAACAGTCAGACATGCTTGAAATCATAACGACGATGATGAAGACCCTATTGCTTGCTCACCTCCTGGTTTTTTTTCAGTCTTCCTGCAGGTTGCAGAGCTTTATGTGCAGGCTCATCGTTTGGGCGACATGGCCTGCATCGAGGGTGCACGGAAAGAGGTGGTGCTACTTGCCAACAAGCAGGCAATGGAGGACGCCAAAGGGGTATACCAGCGAGAGATGGAGACGCTGCTGAATAAGCTTCCTGTGGAGTACAAACAACTGCAACGACATCAAGAGGAGTGCACAAAGAAAGCGATGGCTCTCTTCTGCCGTCGCTCTGTGCTCGACTGCAATCACGAGTTTGAGAAGATGCTCTTGGTGAGTTTGGAGGATGTTGAAAACGTAAAGGTGCAGCCATAAAATGTATTTTTCACACCGCGGCTGATAGAGGGGGCCTCCAATATGAGGATATATCTGGAGAGCTACACTCTAGAAGGTAGTTTTGGCCTACTCTTCAATGCCTGGGACAGATGTCTTGGAGGAGGTGGGAGTACCCACATTTACCACACCCATATATAACCTCACAATTGACTGTGGTGTACCCATTTATAATAATGGGTGGACAGACACCGGTGGATTTAACATATGCACCCATGGTTTCAACTGCTATGCCAGGAGATCGAATGCCGCCTGCATTGGATGTTCATGGTGATGTTAAACGATGGCAGAATACCACCGATTTAGAAAGGGTTCACCTGGAACGCATTTTTTCTCCTTATCTTTTTAACATGTATCAGTTTAAGAATTCACCAGAATACATTCACATCATATTATGCCCGTGTTGGCCTCCCTGCACTGGCTTCCATTTTCACGTAGAATACAGTTTTAAATCCTAAAGTTAACTTACAAAGCAGTGAACCATCTTGCCCCAGCCTAATCATTGACATGCTACACCCATATGTCCCCTCAAGGTCTCTAAGATCTGGGGATGCAGATCTTCTGTCTGTGTTCCCAGGTCGAGGCTTTGGTCTATGGGTGACCAAGATTTTCCCCATGTAGCCTCGAGGATATGCATCACTCTTCCACGAGATATCAGGATCTCTGAGTCTGAGGACATTTTTAAAATGCATCTTTAAACCTATACTGTTTGGTTTTTTCGGTGAAGTCACGTGGGTATAAAATAAAATAAATGAAATCACGACGTTTCGATCGCACCACAAGCAATCATCATCAGGTGGGAAAACCGCAGCAAGATAATGTTTGCTTAAGTGTGAGATAGATACCGTGGTATTTTATGCTTCAACTTATTGAACGTTTAGTTCATTAAGTAAATTGATTCTTAAAATTTATTTATAATATAAAATGTGTATGTATCTGAGTGTCTGCTGCTGTGTCCTGTGCAGCACTTTGAGATCCTTGATGAAAAGCGCTATATAAATGGTATTATTACGTTTTATTTTATTATAATTCTGAAAGCGATTTTGCTTATGAAGCCACAACCCCCACCACCACCACCCAAACAAGCCTAACCCTGTGTTACAAGGAAGTAACGGGTCCTAAAGAATAAGGAATGGCAGAATAACAGAAAGGGCACTGCCGAAAGATGAAGGCGGGAGAGACCTAAGCAGGAAGGGGTGGGGCCTAAAGTAAATGTGCCAGTTGAAGTAAGGAAGGGGTGGGATCCAAATACGTAGGTGCAAGGATGCAAAAGAGAAAGGGATGGGCACAAGCATGGGAGAATTTCAGGCCTAAGCACGATGGGGTGGGGCCTAAGCAGGATGTGGTGGAGCCTAAGCAGGATGAGGTGGAGCCTCGGTAGGAAGGGTGGGCCTACAGAGGAAAGGGCATATGTATGAAGTGCCGGGGCCTTAAACAGTAATGGGGCTTGGCCGAAAAAGGAACAATCAGGGCGTAAAAAGGCGATAAGGCTTCAAATGGAAGCCCAAAAAGGCAACCTACGATTAAAACATACCCAAAACAACTGCATACCCGCAACAATAAAAAAATGACATCAACTTAAATACAAATTGTTGTCTATATAATAAAATTCTTCGGCAATGACTCTTGCTATCGATTTTAAATAAATGAAGGACACATTCAAACAAGTTGCAACTGGCATAAACAATTGTATGCTGGGGATGCGGCCACAAATGGCAACTGGTATATGTTGAATGCATCTACGCCATAACAAGTAAAACAAAGCAGGGATTACTGAAAACACAGTTTTATCAACAGTTCCTCTTAAAACACCAAATAGCATCACGGCTCATGTCACGAAGTCTGGGAAGACCCCCTGGGGACCCTCTGGGGGAGCAGCATCCTCCATTTCTCCACATTCACACAGTGAGGCTATCCCAGAGAAACCATAATTTATCTGTCTGCATCACACCACACCACTCCTTAGCCTGTTTATCTGGCTGCGTAAAGCCCTGGAGATGCACCTTCATATTGTTGATGATGTGGGACGTTTTCTAATCATGGCAGCTGCGCTCTCCCATGTCGCCTTCCGCAGATACTTTCATTCATAAATGCATACTTTTTATTTAGATCGTGCACAACGTTACATTTCAAAGGACTTTTCAGAGGTTTGGAAGAATAATTTCGAATAGGAGAAACGTCTTCAGATTGTGAAAAAAAGATCGACAACAATACCAAAATGCACACGGAGAGAAATACAGATGACTGGAGATGTGAAAGAGAGGTGACGTTCACCTTGTCTGGTTCGAGAGGTGGGCGTGACAAGGAAGCCACTTGATGCGGATTAGAGGTTGTGAGATGGAACTCACAATTTAATCTTGGACTTTGTAAATGATGCATTGCTGAGTTGAATTCTAGTGAAATTGATTTAGAAGATCTGATTTGAATGGATGAATAGGTCATGTTTATTGCTAAACACTGTGTGAGCAAAGCAACATTTCCATACACTGGAGATGATTGAGCTTGTTTGTAGACATGCTGGAGAAGAGATAATTTCAGTAGTCCAGTCTATATTCAATGATAGAACAGGCAATGGTGTTTGCCAAATTAATGTTCAAGAGTGGACAAGTATGACGAAAGCCAGGTGACATGACAATTGGAAATGTAGACAGACAGTGGATGAAATATGAACGTCGAAACTCAGGTTCTGATCTAATAGGACACCAAGAATCTCGAGATGGGTGGTGATCATAAGTCACCCAGCTATTGTCAGGTCAGGAGTAGTAGATGGCATGTGAGAAAGCCTCTCTTGACCTCCTATGATCATGGCCATACAGTGAGGGAAACAAGTATTTGATCCCCTGCTGATTTTGTAAGTTTGCCCACTGACAAAGAAATGATCAGTCTATAATTTTAATGGTAGGTTTATTTTAACAGTGAGAGACCGAATAACAACAAAATCCAGAAAAAAACGCATGTCAAAAATCTTATGAATTGATTTGCATTTTAATTAGGGAAATAAGTATTTGACCCCTCTGAAAAACATGACTTAGTACTTGGTGGCAAAACCCTTGTTGGCAATCACCTACGTGAGCAGGTTAAGGTGTACTAGGTTAATTTTCTATCTCAAGCAAACAAAGTTTGGGGGCTAGAAAGAAAAATGGGAAGGAATGAATGGGAGGGGGGGGCATCACTGAGATAACATTACAAAACGAAAAAGAGGGACAATGCAACCTAGGGCCCACTTACACTAGCCTTGCTCTCCTATGGGATCCACCATCTCCTAAGCTAGTGCAGGGGCGATGAAAGTCTCTGTGGTCCACCCCCTTCCCCTCCTCCATTTCACTCGTTTTTAATAAACTCTGTGGCATCGCTCCTTTGTATTATCCTATTGTTCCCCTTCTACGTGACTTTACCGAAAGAACCAAGAATATGAATCTCTGCAGTCACGAAAGCTTTAAATCAAAATTTAACGTATTGAGAGTTAGATTTTAATGTACAATTTGTATTAAGGGATTGTGTGTTGTCTTGGTGTGGTCTGGGACAGTTTTTGCTGTTGTTTTACTGCCTTTCCGAAGCTTTGGAATTTATTATGCAATTGTAACCTATATACTATATTTATTTATTTAAGGGGCGTCATGGTGGCTAGGATATGTTATCTTCCTCGCTTGGTATGCAGGAGTTCAGGGGTTCGAACCCCACTCTGATGCCTGTATATTTGGACGTTGCATGTTCTCCCCGTGGGGTTTCCCTCCACATTTAGAAACATGCGTTGAGACTATTGAGATAATTTTACTGCTATAAATGTCCAAATAATACGCTACTTTGTTGAGCTAGAATTTGTGGCCAGGTCGCTTTTGAACAATAAGTGAATACCTCAGTGGGCTCTGTCTGATAGGTTGGGGATGGTTTAGATTTATTTGAAACATTTTAGGTCATTTGTTTATCTTTCTTGTACTTTTCACTCCTATCATGTTTATAGTTTGTTGTAACGTTTTTACCCCGTGCCCCTAATGGACATCTGTGAAAAAGAGCTTCATAGCTTATCGGATTGCTGCAGTATAAATACATATTCTGATTCTGATGTATCGTTTCCCCGAGAGTAATTCCGAAGCATATTTTTCTTAGAAGCATATCTTGTTGCCACGACTGCCCATCTAGAAAAAAGCTTTGGAAATACAAGCCCCGTTTTGTCATTTCTGGTTTTATTTCTCTGCTAGAAGCCACTTTTGATCTAAATAGTGAGGGCTAGTACTTGGTGGCACGTGGTTATTTCGGGAAAAAATCTACATGTTCGGAGTTTAGGGTTTGTTCTACAATGGGTCTAATTCTCTTTAAGATTCATCACTCAGGTTTGTAGTGTAGCTGAGGTTTAATTTTAGGTGGTAGCTTGTTGGCATGGATGGGTTCTCACCTGTTTTTTTATTGCAAAAAACATTGAACCTCCTTCATATTTGAGGCATCCTCTTGCGATCCTAGATGACACATAAATTAAAGGAAGTGGGCAATTTTGCAGCTCATCTTTTCATTGTTGCCAGAGCTCTAACGTCCAGGCCACACTCTTTCCTGACTTTCATCTTAGAGCATTTTCCATTTTTGTCTGCGGGAAATAGTCGGAGACCTTTAGATTCACTAGGCCGAGATGATGCCATTTTTTCTATTTTTTTCTTTAAAAGTTCTGTCTACGTCTGCCTTGTCCACTTGGATTAGCTGAGTGGCCACAATGTTTGCATGAACTTTTCCCTGTGTTTTTTTGGTGGACTTTCGTTTTTTTACTCACAAAGCCTCTATTGTACAGCGTTTCACGCTGGAAACATTTGAGAAAATGGAGAAAAAGAACACGGAGCAATCATACAAGTTGTCCGAACAGCGACTTCGTGAACTATTTCAACACGTGAATGAGATGGACAAGGAATTCATGCAGCCTGGGGGCTATCAGAGATACAAGGCAGCAATGCTGAAGCTGGATGAAGAGTATCGTGCGACAGAGGGACTCGGAGAAGAGGTGACGTACACCCTCCATGTGCATCTTCTTCCTGACGTTTCCTCCATTCTGTAGAGGTTGTTCTTCCTGCTCTTTTCCATGGATTCCTGTCCTGGGACATCATCTAATTGTTACTTCACAGTCCCGCATATACTGCTCACCTCTACACACAACCTATATATAGACCTGCCTCTCACTCTCTGCCACAATGCTTCCATGTTAAGCATATATAAATATATACCACTATCTTGGGTGCTATGCTGACATCAATAGGAGCTGGTCTTGCTCCCACAGCCTGTGTAGGCTAGACGGGGGCAAACAACACTCACCTAACTTGCGGGTATTTGCCAGCAAAACTGCGTTGTGAGCAATGTCATTGGCTGACGTCGGTGAGCTGACTACCTTTGCGGTGTACTCTCATCCTCCACAGTGGCAAACGGGGGGCCACTGGGCAAGTTCGTCGGGACTGCTGAGCTCTGCAATTTTTGCTCATTACCAAGTGGACTAAAGAGACAATGTCAGAGCGAGCACGTTACAGGAGTACCGAAAGGAAAGGAGTCCATTGACCTCTCCTGGCCACAACCCCATTTGGTGGAGCCAGGGGGAGTAAAACACCTCCCCTGGCAATTTCAGGCTATAGCTGTCTTTGAAACAGAGCACCTTGCTGATAGTCTTTCACTGTCAGAAGTGGCGCGAAGACCAAACTTACTAGAATTATCATGAATGACCGCGGGTGTCATTCACCGCTACCCTTTTACTCTTATCTCCCTCAATATCGATGTATATGTATCCTTTTGCATGGCACAGAGAGGTATTTGCTGTTCTGTCCTTCCAGAAAGACAAAGCCTATGAAGATTTTATGGAAAAAAATAAGGATCGTGGACAAAGTATCCTGATGGTGGACAAGACACTGACCCAAGTTCAACAAGAAGAACTGAGTAGGATGCTTTTCTTTTCTAAGTTGTTGGCTACACGAATTTGTTTGATTATATTTTTCTGAGTAACTATGATTTCCACGATATGGCGATATTGCGATATATTGCATAATGTTCGATCCGTAATTATGACATCATTTGTTTCCAAAAAAATATTGTTCAAGCACAATTATTGTTGCCATATTTTTTTGTCATGTTTAAAATCATAAGGAAACCATCAAAAACTAAGGCATAATAATCAAAGTAAGTGAAACATCTATTACCCATTAAATTCGGTCTGCAGCAGCAGTTACATTGGTGAAACGAAGTGACGTGTCTCAGACCGGGTTCGCGAACACAGAGCAAATTTGAAACATGGCAGAACCAACACCTCGGCGGTGGCGGATCAATGTTTCAATGCTGTGGGCACACGTGACATTGATAACACGTGACATTGTTTTCTCCGAGACCAAGGTGCTCTGCAAACAACTCGGACCACCATCAGAGATTTGTTCATGAAGCCATCCAGATATACAAACACAAACAAAACTTTAGTCGAGAAGGATTCAGATTGAGCAATCATTGGAAGGATGTGATTAACCATGTTAAATTTTAACTGCTGATTTTTACTCACCCACCCGTGTGTCTTGTTGTCCGATTACTAATTCAAGTCCATTTACTTGCTAATTTCTCCAGCCCCACCCGTCCATGCAAGCCACAAACCCTCCCCCCTCTCCCCTGTGAACTCCTACAGCCAAACTCCTTCCCCCCCCTTCCCCCTCCCGTGCCTATATAAAGCCACAACAGCAGATCATTTTTCTCACCTGAAGACGGACTCTTGTGTTGTGACCGAAACGTCTTGTTTTTCTTTTTTCTATCTATGTCACTTTACCGAAATAACCAGAGAGTATATATTTATACTATACACTTAGTTAAGTAATGGAACAAATAATATAATCAGTGGCGGAAATTGATTTCTTAAATAATCAGATATCCAAGCTCGAGCGTGTATTAGTGACGAGTTGTCTTTGCAGAGAGCAGAACATTGGAAAGGAAAAGAAAGCAGGATTCGGAGGCTCTGAAGAACGTTGACAAAGACAGGGAATCAAACATATCACACTTGGAGAATCAGCAAAAGGTAATAATGTCACCACTACTACCACCTTCATCATAATTACATCCCTTCAGTCAACGCAAAAGTGACACTGAGGCCAAATTAATGTCTGTGATGCTTCTCTTTCCTTACCAAGTGTCACTGCTTGAATCAATCCCAATCCTTTATCTTCGCATGCATCTTTCCATCCATCCATCTGGTTTTGACATCGCTACACCATAGCACTCGTTGTGACTGGATTGGTTAAGAGCAACTGTGGACGTCCTCTAAGAGTGTCAGTGGAGTGCTTTTGCAAATAACATCTGGAAACCGAGCAGCATTTTATGGAAAATAATATTTTCAAACACCAAATAAATACCTTTGGCAAAGCATCAAGTCTGCATTAACCACATATACGCGTGGCAAACATGCAAACAAACATGTTCTTATAATTATATATGCATTATCGTTGAAACCGATTGAACAAGGCATATATTATCAGAGCATGTTTGCATGTTTTTCCACAAGTGTGTGTGGTTAAATCAAACCTGATGCCATGCACAATAGGGTTTTTCCCCTTTTTTCTGGCAACAAAACTGAAACTTTTTTTTTACAAGGAATCATGTGTGCATTAACCGCAATACTTGTGGTCAAAATGCAAACAAAAAACACACTGATAATATATGCATTGTCCTTGAAACTGATTGGTCCACACCAGAGACAGCTTTCTTTTGAGCCTCGTCTCAATTGGTGCTAGACCAAAGGACGCCAAAATGCAAACAGCTCAAAGACAATGCACTATCAAAGTAATGAGGGCTCGGGGTAAGCATCTACATCATTAGACCTCCTTTGCCAGTACCAAAGTATAATAATAGGGTTTTTCCCCTTATTTCTTCTTTCCTTGGTTGATGTTACATTTCTCTCTTTTCATGCATAGCGCCCTGACATGGTAAGGAAAATGATAAGGACACTGCGGTGTGTGTGTGATATGGGGGGATACAATCTTACAGGGGCATGGGTTGACCATGCCAATTCTACAAAGGCAAAGGAAGGGAAAGCTGCGTGAAAGGTGAGCACAAAGCACAGGAGAGGGAGAAAACTCGTGAGAGAGATAGTGAGAAGGAGAGAGAAATACAACTGCCAGGTAAATAGATGAGAGCCGGGGTCCCCTGAGAACGTGGCCTGAGATCTCTCATCAAACACTGGACATGCTGCTGCAGGGCTGAAGGACTGTACTCGCATTTAAGTCGGTCAATCCAAGCAGAAAAAGTTGAATAATAAGTTGAAGAATAAGTTGATGAAGAACTTGAAGAATTTGAGGAAGAAGTTGAGGTTGCTGACAGGGCTGAGTTGAGCCACCACTGCAAGTGCCTGGGCTGAGATAGCGACCAGACTTCAGTCTCAGTCCCAGGATCAGCAAAGACATTTGAGAATAACTAAAGAGAGATAAAACCATTTTAAACAGAGATGTTTTTAAGTTGAGATTTGGAGATCTGGAAGTGTCCCAGAAGTCCCCTGACCTGGAAGGGGCAATGAGTTCCAAAGATTAGGTGCCGCAATTGCAAAGGCGCCGTCATCACTCCCCAAGTGCATAAAATTACTCATTGTTTTTTTCGGTAAAGTCACGTATGTAGAAATACAATAAAATTATATTTAAACAAAAAACAATCACGACGTTTCGATCACAACGCAAGCGATCTTCATCAGGTGTCAAGAACAAATCACGGAGGTAAATACAAAAAGATGAGAGACGAGAATTCAACAAACCTGAAAAAAACATTATGTGAAGCACATCCAGTCAGGCCAACAACACAGACACTTCCTGGCGGACCACGAATTTCAGAAGAGTGTTAAATTTCGTGTTCAACCTTTGGATTGCACATACCAGCATAGATAGAATGAAAAATACGAGGTACACGGTCAGTAGATATACATATACAAGTCCACCAAGAGGTAAGGAGGGAGTAAAGACGGACAGGGAGGTAGAGAGAGAGGGGGGGGCAGAGGGATGAACAGAAGCTTAAATAGGAAATATGGTTGGAGGGGGGGAGGGGCCAGAGCGAGACTGTACACTACTATACACTATACTACTATACACTACACTATACGCTACACATCGGGTTCTATGGAGGCCTGTCGATAAGCGATTCGTTGTTAACAATCACCTTGGGCACTCTGATCACTATCTTGGTCTCTTGACTTTCACCCAGTTAAACAAAATACAATAAACGAAACACCTGAGAACGATTTAAAACCACTTCACATCAATGTTATCTATACACGGATCACCCTGCATTGTGGTTACCACCTTCATGCGTTTTTCAGGATTGTTCTCTCGTTAGGGTCCTTCTCCTGGGGAATCTTTAGGTCGAGCAGGCCATGTGGGCTGGTACTGTAACTCACAAACTACTTACATTTAGAGAACCAATGGCAACATCATCTCCCACTAGCAGGCTTGTGGCAACTTTCAGTCTGGGTTCACACCTTGTGCCACACTGGGACAGCTGTTGCCATGGGGTGACCCTATGACCCCCGAGCATGACACTACAGCAGGGCATCTCGCACCCCCCGCGGATGCGTGCACCCGAGGTTAAGAACCACTGGATTACAGTAACACCTCAAATATTAACTCGGATGGTACAAAACATTGGGGCGAAACGAGGACTACACTTTGAAATGGCACTGTCATGATGAGTGAGCGTTGTTATTTGTTTGTTTGTTGTTTACGTCTCCTGTTTGCGCAGGTCATGACGGAGTTGTTTGACGAGAAGCTGAAGGCGATCGAGAATCACACAGACGAGAACATAGCCAACATAAATAGTAACTTCGTGAAGAAAATGATGGAGTTTTTTCAGCAAAAGTGAAAGTGCGTGATCTATTAATACCATATTATCAAAATTAAAAGACATTGTGAATTTAGGGCATACTTTTTCAAGTGTCTTATAACGTGGAGGATATCGCAGAGTTTAATCAAATGTGAATAAGGGTACGGGCTTGCTTTGGAATTTCAAATTCATGGTTGCAAAATCCTCAAACCTGCATTGTAAGCATGTAATAAAGAGCTTGTAGGATGCGGGGGTCTTGGAGAAACATCTTCCAGATGATGATTATGAATGTGCTGCTTTGAAATGTGGACAGATTCCGTCTGGAACATGTTTTATGTCTTAATGGCCAGTGATGGTGTTTTCTGTCCTTTGGCTGCTAATGCATTGCTATGGAGGACCATCTCCTGGAATATTTTTCTGAACAACTACATTAAACATACTGTTTGGTTCTTTCGGTAAAGTCACGTAGGTAGAAAAATAAAATAATATATCATTAAAACATATCTTCCTGAAGATACTGTATTGTTTGCATTTATTAAGACCCCCCAATTTGTGTCTTATAAAGCAGAGCACATAATTAGAGGATTCCCTGATAGCATTTTTTATGATGCAATCTTAACTTTCACAATGTGACAAGATGTCATTCATAATAGAGGTTTTTTGGGGGGGGGTTAGATCGCGTAAATGTGTCGTTAAAGCCGCCAGCACCACCCAACACAGCCAATTAGTAAGGTCTGTAAAGTAAACAAAACGTAGTTAATCTTTCACTAGTTCAGCACTAACAGGTGTGTGTGTGTGTGTTGGAGGGTAAACCCACTACAACATTTACAATTCGAGTACCTGGTGACGTTTCGCCAGTAATTACAACAACAACCAGCAGCGTCATCAGGTAACAGCCCAGAGTTGTGGAGAAATCCTCCTGCTGTTTTGATCTTAAATAGACGGAGGTAAATATAATGTCGTCACTGTGTGCCTATCAGGTGCAAATATCCGGAAGACCCGACTTATGGAAGTCCGTGCTGGCAGAAATGCTCCCATAAATCATGTTGAAAAAAAAATCAATGCGCTGTAATGTTTGCGTTAGTTACGTAAGAGCAAGTAGTACAGCGCGGTGAGGTTGCGGATGAATACCGCGGAGCGAGGCGTAGAGGCAGGGCTACAGCTCCCTCTGCAGCTCTCTCTGCGGCCCTGTCTTTAAAACAACGTATGCCTGCTGATGTTGACCCCCGATGATTGTAATGCCCGTCTCCTCTCCTTCCTCATCTAGCAATTAAATCATCCGTCATTCACAACTATTTCCTGCTATGGGATTTTATTTTAACTTTGGGGGAAAATTGGTCAGTTTCCGACGTATGGAAAGTTCGGGTTACAGATCGTTCCATAACCCGGGGACTGTGTATATAGAGATGTCAGTTTCCAATAACTTTGTTATTGTAATTTACAAATTTGTTCTATCGTTTTTGTTCTTTGCTCTGCTTTCAGTATGAATAAAGGTGACTTTAAAATGTCTTCAACAGCAGTTCTCTAAACATGAGCCTGCCATCAGTCTTCTGATCGTTGCACCTTTGCAATCTATAACACGTACAATCCGTACGCCGTGAAGTTACACAAAACACAATGAAATAAATAAAGTCCCGTATTGCGACATCAGCTACTCAAGATAACAACATGTAGCAAAGCACCAGTTTAATGACAAGCGATTTATTTAGAACTATCACAACCCCTACCACTACCCCTATCACTACGCCTTCCACAACCCCAATCACTATCCCTATCACTAAACCTATCATTACCACTATCACTACCGCTATCACTACCCCTATCACTACGCCAACCCCTGTCACCACTCCTATCACTACACTTACCCCAACCACTATCAATACCAGTTTAACATGTGCCCCAGCCCACCGACACTATATACAAATGTACAACCGTGCAAAGAGAAAAAAAAAACAACCAGAGTAGGGCAAACCAATAACACCGGATGCACGCGCCCCCAGCACACCCACAATCCGCGGTAGCCACGTCGTGTGTCACCACCCATCGGTAAAATAAAGGAAAAGAGCAACCAACGACTGAGGCGGCCTGGTGAGTGTGTAAGTGAATCGACAGTGTGTGGTACGCGTGTGTGTGTGGGGGTCCTTGTTGCTGGACCCCCAGAGGTTTCAGGGGGATTTGTTAATGGTCCAGCAGAGTTCGGCCCCGCATGGGGGACATCCGGCTGGGCGGGTGAACACCCCACATCTGGAGTCGGGGGAGCAGCCGGCAGGGACGATTGCGGAGTCGTCTCACGTGCAGCACCTGGGGATTCAATAACAGAACTCTGCTGAGGGTTAATCCCCGCGGGCTCACAACCTGGCTCGTCGGACACATCACACACATGGCCCCAGCATTGTGGAGTGAAAATGTGTGGTGCAATGAAGTGTTTTAGGCGCGATGGGTGAACATACCAGCACCTCCGTCCCCACTGAACCTTAACGCACTGCAGGTGGATGACCCGAACGACGTCGACAGGACCCCTCCAGGGTCTCAGCAATTTGGACGACGTGGCCGATGGTATCTGCGGGCAGTGGAGCCAGGCCCTGTCACTTGCAACCCACACGTGTCCGGATGCACGGAGGCCCCACAGCCGTTCATTGGCCAATTGGCACTAATTCGAATTTTCCCTTGCCGCCTCCCACGCTTCCGTCAGCTTTTGAATATTGAAGCACATGTGGTCCGAGATCATAGATTTGGAGTTGTTGGATGTGACCCGCAGCCGCACTTCAAATAGGGGGTCGACGTCCCTGACATACTTTTAAAATAATGGTGAACAGCTGGTTGCTGCATGAGGGGCCATACAATATGTGGCCAGAACACCGAGAATTTTAAAATCCCAATCAAGTTGCGACTCGCTGACCTGGGGGTGGTATGGCGACGTATGAATTTTCTGCGTACCCAAATGGTCGCATACTTCCCGCAGTAAGGTGGAAGAAAACATTTTCCCTTGGTCGGTCAATAGATGCTAAGGAGCACTCTTGTCTGAGACGTAGCCATGGAGAAAGGTGTCCGTGATCGCCGACTGGTTGGGGAGTGGCCAGGCCATAGGCCAGCGTGATAAATATTCCACCCCAACCAAGTAAATAAATACTTATTGCCCCGGGGGGTGGCGGGAAATGGACCAAGGATGTCCAGAGCGATGAGCTCATTAATGCAGGATGGCTTGACCGGCGGTTTCCGTTGCGCACACCGCACGCAGCCCTGCAGCAAATTGGCCACATCCCTTGCCATGCCCGGCCAAAAGAAGTCCAGCTGGAGTGTGGCAAGGGTCTTGTGTACTCCCAAGTACAAAAAGGCGCCCATACAGCCTTACCTGGCAGGGCGGTGAACACGACGATCTGGTATTGACGCGCAAGTGCCATCCCATTTCATCAAGAGGCCATTGCGCAAGATAACAGATGCGAATCCCTCACGGCTCTTATCCCCATCGGGCCGCATAGTGCAATGGCACAACTTCAGAAGGGAAACGTCCTCCATTTGGATGTGTCCCCAATCAGCGAGGTCGAAGCCGAGAACAGCATCCCGTTCGACAGGCTCGTCAGCCACCTTGGAGGAACCCACCCCTGAGGAAGCTACTTCGGCCGACGCCACGAGGGGTGGGGGCGAGCTGTCGACTGGCTGCTTACAGTGCCCCCAAGCCCAAGATGCACGCGCACCCGTCGCTCGGTGGTAACCACGACAAAGCATCGGCGTTCGAGTGCTGGGTACCGTTCTGGTAGGTGACGGTGAACAAATAGTCCTGTAGGACTTTGAGCCAGCGAGAAAGTTGACCGTATGGTTGGTCAACTCGCAACGTGTATTGCAGCGCCGCGTGATCAGACCACACCATAAACTGTCTGCCATATAGATATGGCCGGTATTGCTGCACAACAAAAACGATGGCTAGTAGCTCTTGGCGCATAACGCAGTAGTGTTTCTCCATCGGGGACAGCACTCTGCTGCCAGATGCAATGACGCATTCTTCCCCGTCCACGACCTGCGGCAAAACCCCGCCAATGCCTGTGTTGCTGGCATTTGTGTTGAGGAGCTTAGCAATGGAAGCAAACCCCACTCAAACCGACGATAAAATTATAACCCGTCCTGATGCAAGCCGTCTTCTCCGGGTCAGTGGCAATGCCTGATTGGCTGACAATGTGCCCAAGGTACCACACGGATTCCCGCAAGAGGTGACATTTTTGGGGCTTGAATTTGAGATTGGCCGCTCGCATTTTAACAAAAACAGCCCTCAAGCGATCGAGGTGCTCATCAAATGTGCGGCTAAAGACATTGACATCGTCCAAATATATCAGACACGAGCTACGTGGCATACGGAAGGCCATTTTGGGGTTGGAGGCCTCGTACAGAGGCAATTGCCAAAAGCCGGACAGAAGGTCCAGTGTGGAAATTAATGTCCACCAGCCAGGGCGTCCAGAGATTCGTCCATCTGAGGAAGGGGATAAGTGTCCGCAACCGAAATTGTATTCAGTTTGCGAAAATCTGCACAAAATCGCAAGCTACCATCATGTTTTTTAATGAAGACGATCGGGGTCCCCCATGGGCTGGTGGATGATGAAATGATGTCCGCAGCCAGCATGTCATTCACAGCCAATCGGACATGCTCTTTTTCCACCGGACTCAACCAATAAGGGTACTGCCAGATGAAAGCAGTGTCAGCCATGTCAATATGATGGCTTAATAAGTTAGAGCGGCCAATGTCAAATTTTCCCTTGCTAAAAACGTCAGTAAATTCCCACAAGAGCGCCCGCAATTTTTCCCTCTGGGATTCTAGCAAAGTCAATTCAACCACCTGTTCATCCAGATCCGAGTGCGGCTGCAGCCGAGGCATGGCCCCAACATGCTCCACAACAGAATCACCTTGGAATGCCGGTGTCGCGTGAGCGAGCACAGTACCGTGGTATGATGGAAGTCCGCAATCCGGCAATCAAGACCTGGATGAAGGGCTCCTTGTCATTGGACACAATGGTTTGTGCCCCGAGCAGCTCCAACCCCCGCACAGCCATGCTCGACGGACCCAAAGAGGATCCCCACGCCGTCGCAACTGAATCGTGTGGTTTGTTCAAGCAAAGGGGAACAAGCATTTGCGCTCAAGGGGGAATGCGCACCATCCGGAACGTCAGCGCTTGCACGGCGACATAGGCTGTACGTGACCGAGTGAGGGAGGGCAAGAATGCCAACTGACAACCGGACGGCAATTCAATGGATGCCTGGTCGATCAAAATTTTGATTGGCATCTTACCCAAGATGAGTATTGGGGATATTAAATTAACGGGCCCGTTAATGGCACCTCAACGGGGTATAGGGGGCGGCATTTCTTGGGTAGGATGTTATAAATGAGTTCCGAAATTATGGTCGCCGACGCACCCATATGGGCCAGCATCTGGAAAGCGACCCCCTTGATAGAACCAATAACAAACGAGGATCCCGCTGTCGCGGCAACAACTATATGGAGCCAGCTCCGACCACTGAACTGGTCAGAGCCGCAAGGCAGATTGAGCGCATTCCGGCCCCCTACACTCAATGCACGACGAACGCGCGAGCTGGCACAACGAGATGCATGAGGTGAAGGCAGGGGCGGAGTGTGTATGGTGCCGCGGCTCGCTTCAGGTTGCCACAGAGATGAGGATGGGAAGGGGATGGAGAAACGACGTCGAGGCGCCCAGCAGCCCAATGACAGGTGTTCCGGCAGTCCGCAGTTGTAGCAGGTGACGAGAGCCCACTCCGATCACGGTGACGCCTGTCCCCACTGTCGGGAGCCATCCTGACATGGCCGGTCGTCTGCTCTCC